CTTACTACGTTTATGAGAAGTGATAGCATGACTGCATGAGACAAAATGGATGACCAACGATGCAAGTTTCGCCAGATGTTTCTTCACAAGAAGAAAAAATCTTAAGAGATTAGCACAACCTAGATCTAGAGCAAGAGAGAATGACCAAGAGAACCCATATTTAAGGAAAAAAATAAACTGTTCCACAAAATCGCTAGTTACCTAGAAATAAGCATCTTGGTCGTGGTATCTTTATAACAATTTTTTTTTAACAATTTAATGATTTGATTAACTGCTTGAAAAAACTAAATCAATTTTTAAATATATTTAAAACCAATAAAAATATATGCACCTAATGAAACGAATTTTTTTTTGTTTTTTTTAACATCTGGGGTATTTCATTAACTATCAATGTTTACAAAGTAATCATCAATTCCCTTCATCATAAACATAATCAACAAAATCTTTATATACCTATTTTACATCAACGGGTATTGTGAAACTAATAAACAGTAAATATATGTTTTAAAATTAAATAAACGGTAAATATATGTTAAAATAGTTAATTTAAATTGGTTGATAAACAAAAATAATACAGCTGATTTAGTTCAGAGATTTTGTTTCTTTTTTTTTTTAAATATGAATTTAGTCGTTTAACAAATGCTAAATTTTAGAGATTTAGATCTCTAAATGGTTGAATTATTTCTTTTAAAAAAAATCGTAAGAGAGCTTTTAGAATTCTGTTTAGTTAATTACCTTTTGAAGCATTTTTTATAATTTATATCTTATTGTGAGCCGGAAATTTGAAAACCTTAAGGGAGAGATTTAACAAAAAAAAAGGATGTATTTTATTATTTTCTTTAAAATATATCAATTTTATTTGTTGAAAACAAAACTATAAGCATCAATTATAATTGATATACACCTCGTATCATTTTTATAAGTGATGTTATAAAAATCATAGTTAATACATCAATTAAATCAATTCATCCCTTATTTTTTATCGAAAAAATCAGTTCATACTTTTCTATCAACATTTATAAGTGATGCAAATTAAAATAAATTTGTATCAATTTTATTTAACTGATGTCAAACAAGTCGATAGTAGTATCAATTCAATCATATATTTTGTATTATTTATCAATACTCAATAGTAATTTAAACTAGTCTCATTTATTTATTTTTACACAATTTATGTGATGTAACACACCTTATTTTTTAAAGTGTAATGTGGTTTAACGTCAATTTTGTAGTATAGTAGTTTGTCTTAATACTGCTATTTTGTTATATAATTCATAAACGTGTTTGTGTGATTAATATCAAATAGTGACTGGTTTTTAACTACATTACAGTCACAAATCGTTATTTGCGACTTCGTCAAAAATTTGTTAAATATAGTGACACCATATATGATAATAATTCCGTCATAGTTGTCAAAATTGTATGTTTGTCACAAATTTAGTCATTAATTATCACAAAATTTGGTTACGATTTTATCCGTCACATTGTTGTGACGAAACAACTATGAATTTGAGACATTAATATTTTGGTCATAATACAATATCTAAAATGTCATAAATTTATGACAGAAATTTTTCATTTCAAATTTTCGTCACAATAACTGTAAATTTTCGTTTCTAATTTATGGGCAACGGCTGTAAATTTCTGTGAGTTTGGAAGTTGAATATAATTACGCAAAATTTGTTGTTGACGTGTCGCTAATCTGTCTTTTTATTGGTTGATTATATATTTGATTATTTTTACCTATGTGGAGGCTCTTATAAGCCACAAAATCCTCCCCTTTTATATAAAGGAGATTTACATAATAAATCAAATATATAATAGTTAATTTCATATGAGATATGGTAGTTTTATGGGGCAATTGTAAAAATACTACTTTTGGTGTGTACATTTCCAAGAATGCAACTTCGAGATGTCCATTTGCAAAAATACCACTAATTATGGATTTTTAAAATCTAAATTTTAAAATTATAAACCGTAAAAAATATTTTGATCCATAAAACCCCTTCAACCCTCAAAACTAAACCCTAATACAATATAGTTAACTCAAACATAAATGATATAATAAATTTTTTTTTTGAAAAAATGGCAATTTTGCAAAGATTTTGAAAAAGTGGTATTTTTGAAAAGGGACATTTTTAAAAATTTATCTAGTTTTAAAAGTATGAAAGAAATATATGTTTATTTATGTGCTATTAATAGTAGAATTTTAATAGTCTTTTTC